ACTGATTTTTGTTGGTTTGTCGAATGGGTAGGTTTGTTTCGGAAATCACCTGCGTTTTTAAGTCAAATGAGAGAATGCATATTTAAGAAAAGAAAAGCAACTCGCGTGCGATTTGGATCAGGGTTAGAAACTTGCGTTACTCAAATGTTATCGCCTGCCATTTGGAGTAAGAAGAGGGGCGTGCGGCGTTCCTCCGGCGTAATTGACGCTAGTTTAATTTCGAGTGCTCACGTCAACCCGGTCCCAGTTTTGCGGAATGGCCAGCAACAGCAATGTCAGGTTGATTGCTGAAGGGCCGCTCGTAAACGACGAAGCTGCCACCCTCTCGTCTCTCATATTCGCCGGGCAGAACGTCGGTGTCAAGCCGTTGTTGGGTGAGCTTTAATTACTTCTTAACACCACTTCTTCGCCCCCGCCCATCACCGCCCTCTTTTCACCCCTTTTCCACCCTTAGGCGGTGACTCTCAATTGAGATAACAGCGTCCTCGATATTAACTCTTCTCCTTTTATTCGAAATGTTAGCACGCTGTTCAACAAATTAATTTATGTTTATTGAAATGTGGCTTATTAAAATTCCAAGAAAAATAAAAATAAATCTGTTTTTTTGTTCTGCCATCTGAAGATTAATTATGTAAACACAATAACAATAAATTATGCCATTTGTACCTGGGAATTTCGTCCTTCTGCCATAAAAGATAACATAAATTAGATGAAAAGTATATATCCATTAAAAAAGCATACTTTGTACCAAGTAATGACGAGAGAACACATTATAATTTCTTTATTCAAAGTGTTTTGATGCCATTACTCTCCCTCTCTCCTTTCTTTCTAACAAGTCTTTGAATGGGTCCGTATTCCTAACTAGATGTAAAATTAATTTTGTTACCCTGGTTTATTAAAAAAAAAAAAATCGTAAAAATATTGAAAATTATCGACATATCAATAACTGTTCGATTATTTCGAAATTGCTGATGCTTTGAGCTCCTCGTTTAAACATGTTATCCTCAAACAGCAGCATCGGTTTATCAATGGACTTGTACCACGAACCTTGTTTTCTATAAAGAATACATGTTAAATAACCTAGAACTCGGTAAGTGTGTTCACTCGTTGTATATGGATTTATCAAAAGCCTTTGATAGTGTGGATGTCTCATTCTGGTCAAAAACTAGGTGTGGGCCAAGAGGGCTTGGGTTTTGGGTCTAACTTTTGTCTGAGAGGTCTTGCGGTGAAGGCTTATCAGAACTTGTCCACGTACGATCTGGTGTGCCCTCAGGGTTCTCATTCTGGTCCGATTTTATTTTTTTTTAATAACATCTGCTGTCATTAATTTTTCATATTCCCTGTTAACAGACGATTTGAAAATTTATCGCCCTGTCGAATCGAATTCTGCATTGGTGTACGAGTAATAATTTCAAACTAAACGAAAATAAATGTAAGATTTTAAAGTTATCAAAGAAAATGATCTTTCACATCGTTGTGTTAAGCAGCTTTAGGTGATTTTCGCCATTTTCAGTGGTCGATTTGTGAACTTGAATCATCCAATTTTGTAATATTATAATACCACCTATTTTAAAGCATAGATGGCATCATTCTCCTTCATAAGCATACAATTATTTATGGATTATGACCAATTCGTCTTTAGTATTGAAGATTCTGACATTGATGAGGTAGATCAAAATCTCGGGTTGTTTAATAAAAAGTGAGATTTTCGGGACCACATCCATGCCATTAGGAATAAAGCGTTTAAAAATTTAGGATTCTTACTCAGGCAAACTGTTGATTTTAAGAACCCTTGTGAAATAAAATTACGATATCAAGCACTGGTACGCAATAGAGTATGCCAGTGTTTGGTCGTCGGATTCTTTAAATTGGTCTTACATGATAGAAAGGGTAGAGTGAAGGGCGGCCACAAAATACCCTTTGTACAAGATATGCAACCACATGAAGTACCATCATTATGAAGCCAGACTTGCTCTAATAGACCTGGATTCTCTTGCGGATAGAAGAGGATTTTTCTGTGTAAGATCCTAAATAATTTCATTGACACCCTTGAGATATCGACTTATATTGGCCTTAGGATAACCCCAGCGTCAACTACGGACCCCTGAATCATTTGGTACTTCACGGCACAGGACCAAATACGGGTTAGATCCTCATCCGTACGGATCTTTAAGACCAATATAGAACAAGCATTAAAATTTCAAATGAGGGTTTATTTTTGTTATTATTGTTTATTTAATCATCTATTTATAATCTTGATTTATTTGGTAAAAGTGTCGGCCCTTCTTGATTCTTCAATTCTCTTTTTATATCCTTTTTTTTAAATAATCATATTTTAATGATTGATTTGTTGCGTTGTTTGACTGTCCTATGCTTGAGTATCTAACCTGTTTGGACTGTAAATAATAAAATAAAATAAGTTTATTATCTTCGTTACATGGAAGCAAATATTTTATTTGAAAATTGGGTTAAAATTGTCTTCATCATCGAGCAGCTTTGGTTGATTTTTGCCATTTTCAGTGGCTCATTTTTGAACTTGAATCTCTCTCTCTCTCTCTCTCTCTCTCTCTCTCTCTCTCTCTCTCTCTCTCACTCTCTCTCTCTCTCTCTCTCTCTCTCTCTCTCTCTCTCTCTCATCTCTCTCGATTTTTGGTCAGTTTTATGATTTTTTTTAGGTCCATCTCTATTTTTAAATTAAAAATTACAATTTAAAATTTTTTAGGTGAACCGGACAAGCCTGCAAATCGCCCAGGACGCCTAGAGGTTTCTAATCGACAAAAAGTTGTTCATACTCCAGTTTAAAAAATAAATCCCTCGATTACCTGACACTGCCGTGCTACGCTTTTTAATTATCATAATCGATGAGGTGTAATTTATTTATGCATTAAAAACGTAAGATAAGAAACATGAAAAAGGGGTGTATAAAACCGAGGGAGCCGGGTTGATCCCATGCAAATGACCCCAAAGTGAAGTATACGTTTTAATTTTTTCACGACGTCGAAAAAGTCACGAAAGCGATTTTACGTCATTTAACCCAAGTGGACTTTCTTCTCTGTATTGTTTAGAATTTAAAGTAAAGGCAACAAAAATGACTTATGGACTGTATAATAAAGTGGGAAGTTAATGGGCCGACAAACAGCTGAGGTCATCGCCGGCCCTCTGCGGGTTTTCTTTCTTTCTCTTCGTTCAGGCTTTAAACTGCAGCCAGTTGAGCATCTCGATCGGGTTACTGACTCTCTGATTTCAAATATATACTACGTTGATATCATAGAATGCTAGCTAGTCTCTCGTTTGTACCTCTGGTTGTCAAATACAGAATAGAAACAAAATATATAATACATATATTTACATCAACACACTCATAGATGTCTGGTCACATTCACTCCCCCATAGTACTCGATATTCCTCGAGGCGGGGTTGTAAGGAACCCCTTCATTTCACGCTAATAAATACTTTTACTCTCCAGAAGTCGTACACTCACCTCAGAGTACTCAATATTCCTCGTGATGGGTTTATAAGCAACCCCTTCCTTTCATGCTAATAAATACTTTTACTCTCCAGAAGACTCACACTCCCCCCAGAGAACTCGATATTCCTTGGGGCGGGTTTATAAGCAACCCCTTCCTTTGACGCTAATAAATTACATTCATTACAATAAATTAACACAAACACATGAACTTTATTGTTTTTGTCAACTATCTGAAAACCTCGCCCACTCTAATCTTTAGTTAGGTTGACAGATATCCCCAGGAGTACATTCTTTACCGATAAATCTTCATCCTTCACACCGCCCTCGATATGTAGCCTCTGGGCATACTTGAGAGGCGGCAACCCACCTATTAACAAACTTTGGTGCTGCACTGCCCGCAGGAGGAAGTGTTTTGGGATGTACAATGCTACTGTAGAAGAAATTCAACTACTGAAACCGGGCCTACTGATCAAGTTCCTTGATGAAATAGGACTCACCGGTCGGCTATAGGCACAGAACGGGGGTTGCAATAGCTCTTAAAGGGCGCAGTATATCTACATCTGCATGTGCTGAGCCCGATTTGAGCTCTTTACCGAAGTACTCCTCTAGGGGGTGGTTAGCAATTACACTTTAAACGAAACCGCGGCCGGAGCGGATCCGGTAGTTTCTACGCTAGGGAAGCTGGAGTTAGAGTGGCCTTCTCTGTCTAGGGAATGCGCGGGAGACCAGGCTGATGTATTTCGGCTTAGGTAGCCCTTTGCACACGGCATACGGTCTGATGCTCAATGCAGACCCGACCACTCGGAATGAGCAAGCGGGGAGCGAGGTTGTCTTGGCCCTTCGGGGCTGAGCTGCCTCTACACCAACTCTGCGGCAGTACCACCCTTCTGTCGTATGCGGAGGTGCGTCAGCTCTCATCTTGAGAATCAAAACGTCCCATAAAGCCGAATAGGCTAGGTGCGGACGTTAAAGATCCTCATTGTCCTTTTAGGACGACCGAGAATACGGGTAGCAATGTCCTGGAATACAATCCCATAGCGACTTATTATTAACTTAGCTTTTGGCAATTTGGTATGCCGTAAAACATGGCATTGCCTCTTTGCCGCTCTGCCTTGCTCTGGTACTCAACCGAGGTTACCTTCGTTGCTGTCCCCAAGGACCGATGATGCAATCTCAAACAGCCCAGGAGGGCACTACCATCAGGTTTGATTTCACCGGCATGTAGATCTGTAAGAGCCATATTCTCCTGATAGACCTGCCCACAGCTTATTCTGAAATTTATTCTTGAGATCTCCGGATTTAAAACAAAGGTCAAGCTCTTACAAAATCTTCTGATGGATTTGAATATATCTATAACACGACGTTTAGAATTTCAAGGTTCCTCTCGTGTAATAATATTCTTTGTGGAAATATTTTTTATTTCCGAGACGTTATAGTTCGAGAATAGTTTTTGAAAGTTCAGTTGTCTTAATATTGAAGCTGTCTGTGAATTAATTGTTTTGTAAATAATTAATTTTCTTTTTTTTTCCAGATGTGTCTTTCCCCCCTTCGCACAAATTGACGGCAAGCGAGGTGTTCGAAGCGCGGAGCGGGCGGCCGCGACCGGATGTCCTCAAGCAGCATTTTATGACGGAAGGACGGATAGACGAAGCGGCCGCCCTTAAGATAATCAACGAAGGAGCGACCCTCCTCCGGTCCGAAAAGACAATGATAGACATCGAGGCCCCAGTTACAGGTAAGGCGAATTTACTTTTTTCAACTTACATCTACTTCGGGTCATCCCATCGAGATCTCAAATCCGAACTTGATATCCTTAATACAAGTCGATTTACTTTAAATCAATAATTAGTCAAAGGTCAATGTGCAATGATGAAAGATTGTATATAACCCGGCACTAGATATTGAATATCTTGTTTGACTATTTGGGAAAAAGTATAATTGTGAATTAAAATACGTTTAATCCCTTCGAAACCTGTAGTGACTATTGGTGTCATAGTCGCCTATGGCCTTTCTAAATATATCGTCGCTAACTTGCCTTCAGTCTGGGAAGATTTCAGTAATAACTTGTAATATTTTTTATTGGCCTAATGTTTTCGCATATTAAACAAAGTACGATGATCCATGAACAGACTAATTTTTTGGTGAGAGTTAAGGATCAGAAAATTTCAAGGGTGACTATGCGAATCATACCCATGATTACGGGGTTTAAGTACCCGATTGAGCTAGTCTCCCATAGTAGAAGAGATTAGATTTAACAATCTTCCAAATGAAAGTTATGTAGTAAGGTTTTAAGTTGAGATAAAAAATTCAGTGTCACCAGCTGGATTCGAACCCACGACCTTAATTGGTCAAACGGACCACGAAAAATAGTGAACTTAATGAATTAAAATGAAGTATACTTCACCAAAGCTCTCCGTGGCCATTTCACTTGTCGCCGAGAATCAAATAAATTACACATTTGAAAAATGGCAAAAATGAGGGCAAATTCAAAAAGGTGCGGTTTAGGTGGGAAGTTGGTGCCCAAGGGGATCGAAGTGGTAGAGTAGCGGCGTATCAAGCCGAAGGTCGTGGGTTCTAATCCCGCTCGTGACACTGACTTTTTTATCTCGACTTAAAACCTTAATTAATTGTATGATATTAATTGGTCAAGCGGACCACGAAAAATAGTGAAGTTATGTAGTAAAACTGAATATGGATCATCAAAATTTGTCTATATGGTTCAGCTGAGTGTACAGCATAATTCCGTCAAAATAAGGGTTTTATGTGCATAATAACTCTTTTTTAATTTCAACGTAACTTTTCTCCGAAGCGTTACAAAACCATAGAAAACGATATGAAATTAAGCCTGCACAGATAAATTCTTGTATATTTACGGGATTTTTGTAGTATAAAATATTAAAGCTCTTAGACCATATGAAAATTAATTAAGAGTTAAAATTAAAAAAATTATGCAACATTAAATATAAAAATAATAGATTCTTCTATTATTAATTCGAAATAAATTGATATAAATTTGTTTATTCCCAATATTTTATCACAATCTGTAATTTTCGATTACTATATGTTATTTGATGAATGCATATAGATTTACAGCTGTTTACATATTTACAAAGGCCTAAATTGACAGAAAATAAAGTATAGGAATTTTACTTTTATTTTAGGTTAAAAAACGATTAATTTGAAGTTAAAAAAGTTTTTTTTTTTTTTTTTAATTTGCCTTATGATCTTTGCATATTAGCCATGACGAATCTCTTATATATGTTGTTCAAATTGGGGGTTATCGGGAAAAAAGGGCCAGAGGCGACGGTGGGAATCGAACCCACGACCGCGGCGTGAGAGTCTATCATGCTAACCACTCGGCTACCGCTAATTTATAAACAGTAATTTTACTTTACACATTTATATTTCATACCATACGAAGTTTTGTTTAATTGCTTTCGTCTTTTGTGTGTCGATAATCATCAATCGACATACGGACTAAAAAAATACGGATTTTAAAGCAACTCCAAGTTTAAATTATGCATAAAACAATCTATTACAGCGCAAACTAGTTATTGACAATATAACATTGCATAGCACGTCTTCAGTCGTCGGGAAAAAGTTGTAGCGACTTGGGTAGTTTTACATTCAGGATTCAATTGTAGCAGGAAATACTTGAAATTCAAGCCCAGACGTAAATTAGTGTCAAATAGACATTCTAAATGTGCAGCGTGAATTTCTACTCCGGATCCGTTTTTCGTTGCAAGTTCGTGGCAAAATTTACAAACTGGTGTAATCAATTTCCCCTTTGCCATTTATTTCACAAGGGCTGATTTTTCCCTTTTCTTGAACTTTTATTTTTAATCTTTGCTAAGTGGTCCGTTGTAGTGTACGATATAAAATTACGGGTTGACTCATTCCCGATTCGACCGATTGTTATCCTACCCATCAATTCAGTTTACACGTGAAGTAGCACGAAAGTTTGAAAATGAGTTAGTTCCTGTTGTAAAATGAATATAAAGGGTTGCCCGCTCGACTCGATTTCACCCCGGAGTGGCATTAAAAGCCAAAAAGTAATAAATCCGAACCTCGTTAACAAGTTCTTAATGAATCCCTGATAAGAAAGTTTGCCAGGCGCTGTTGCGGCCGGTTTAGATCCCAGCTCGTTTAATTTCGAAGGCGGTTTATTAACGCGATACCGCCGGCTGTATTCTTAAAATTCGTCACGACTTTTATTTAAAAATATATTAAATTTTAAAAACAAATACAATAATGTCTCTTTGAAAAGTTCTGTAGTTCCTGCCGTCGAAAATCACCATTTGGCAATGACATTGGTGTGCCTATTTACAACCACATTTCTACTATTATATAATAATAGCACTAACAGATATTTTCTATAGAACTTATCACAAATAAACGCCGAATTAATTTTTTTTTTTTAAATGGTAACATGATATTTAACATTTTCCGAACTATATCAATTAACTTAGCTTGTTAACTCATATTAATTTTTTACAAGAGTCCATGTAATAAATCTACATTTTATTTAAATGAATTAATGTTTATGTAAGGTATTGGTTGAAATAAAAAAGCTAGTGTCACGACCGGGATTCGAACCCCGCTCGTGACACTAGCTTTTATATTTCAACCAATACCTTACTTATAGATTAATTAATTGAAAGAAGTTTTTTGGTCAATCGGATCAGGAAATATAATGGATTTATTTAAATATCAAAATATTATCTTACGTTTCTCACTGGACGCTTGTACCGATCTGTCTTGGAATTTTCCGACTTACTGTTTTTATTTACGGTCTTGGTTAAGATGAAAAAGTTAGTGTCACGAACGGGATTCGAACCCACGACCTTCGGCTCGATTCGCCGCTGGTCTAATAGCTGAAGTGGCGTATTGTGTCGTGTGTTCGAATCTTACTCGTGACGCTAAATTTTTAAATTTAACCAAGACCTTACATAAAAAGAATAATTAATCTTGTATCTTAAGTTACCTATATCCCTTCTAAGTTCTATAAAGCTCTGACTCCAACCATTCTTGCATAAACTAATCTTCCTTATTGCCATACAAAACTTTAATTTATCCTTTTAAAATACTTAATTCGGAAGGCCAAATGTATCCAAAAAACTCATTTTAAATCATAAAATTTATTCCTGTTCTTTAATTAGAATTTCGAATTTTTCGTTCCATAATTTAAACATTTCTCTCAGGCTTGTGTAGCCAGTAATAATAATAACAATAGGTGGAGTATGACTAGCAAAAGTAATGCTATTATTAAAAATTAAATTGTTAAATGTAATGTTTAGTTAATGATTTTTTTTTCTGTGTCGACATCCAGTAGTCCGTCTGCTGTAAATTTACTTTAATTTTTATATTACGTAAAATTTATAACTTGTTTTGCGATAAACTATATATATATTTTTTGTTATTATATTATCTCCATCTCTCTCTCCTCTCTCTCTCTCTCTCTCTCTCTCTCACTCTCTCACTCTCTCTCTCACTCTCTCTCTCTNCCCATTCTATCTCCGTTTCACTCTCTATCATATCTATCACATTTCTTTACCTATATCCTCTCTTCTCTATCTATATTTGTATCTATCTATGTATCTACATGTACCTAAATATCGATATGTATATCTAACTCTAAATTCGTATTTATTTGTCTATTTATCTATTTATTTTTCTTTCTTGAGATAACCTTTTGTTTGGGGAATAATGAATCGTAATTTGGTCGTTAACGTCCCTGTCTTTCATTTATTGGTGTGTCAGACGGATTCGCCATTTCATCATCTTTAGTTTCGGGTCTGTGTTGTACAGTTCTTAACAAATAAATAAATAAGAAAATACATATGTGGACATGGAATATCACCGATAAAAGTAATATAATTGAATAAAGAAGTATGGTCATTTAGCTCTTTGTTCACCAAACCATTTTATACCTGGAAGTCTTTAATTTTTAGTCTTAGGGAATCTTTATTTCGAAATGGTAGGCTATTTCCAATTATATAATTAATTATTAAAAAATTAGATTGAACCATTTAACGGATAAAATTTGACCAACATTAAAAGGCAAAAAATTCAAATAATTGTGCTGAAAGATATTAAACAGACTTGAACTTCCATGGTTGATGATGTGTGACAAAGAGTTAGGGAGCTATTAAAATGTTTCGAATTGTACCAGGCGTTTCAAAATTTAGCGTGCTAAACGAACATGACTAATTTTTATAGTAATGCTCTTAATAGACTTTTGGTCAATTTCTGTCGTGTTCTTTCAACCATCAAAAAGCAAAAACTGTCCTGAAGTAAAGTGATAGGTTTTTATTGACGGTGAAAGGCGAATTCCATAAGAAACCTTGTATTCCTCTCTTCAGAGTTCTGCCAATTTTCTGTTCCTGCTTTTAGCCCTCATTGAATTATTACACCAATATTGGTTTACCGGCGTTGGGTTTTCGATTGGCGGGAATGAGAAGGAGAGAGAGAGAGAAGAGGGATTACGCTGCTGGGCATTAAATTGGATTTTTTGCAAGGTAAAAAAAACAGAATAAGAGAAAAATAAACCAAACCCCTGCCACATTAAACAACAAACAGAATCAATATTCAAATATGTTTGCAACGTAGAAAGCAAACATATCATATACAGGGTGAATTGCTACTCGTGCTACAAACTTCTCCAGTAGATTCTTCACCCTAAAATGAACAAAAAAGTTCATATTGTCCATGGTCCGATTCTCAACNTGAGAATCG